AACTAACAACATTTGTAATAAGTACGTAAAAGTACTTGCTAAATAAAAAATTAATTGATGTACTTAAAAGTCATTTAAGAAGTTATCAGCTGATTGAAAGCAGCCATTTAACCAAACATCATTTTACGAACTGTTAATACTATCGGCTGATCAAAACAACTAACACAATCCGCTGTTATCAATCGGCCAACACAATCAGCCATCAGCCAACAGGCAACAGCCATTTGCCAAACACCCCCTATGCTCATCACTAAAATCATGGACGCATGGATGGTATAATTAGGGAAATAACCATAATATCCTTAGAATTAAAAAAAAACGTTACAGAAGAGAAGAGTTAGAGTTTCAGAAGTATTCACTAATAATTATGAGAGTGATGGATAGTCCACCCGGGGGGTATCTTATCCGAGGGGTTATTGCGGGAATAACTAGAGAGAAGTCAGAGCAAAATAGGAGGAGAGAGAGTCGATTTTATTAAATGAACTCAGTGTGTGGATCTGGAATCGTTTACAAGGAGAAATGAGCTGCTATTTATAGCAGCAATAAATGCGAAGAGAGTACACGTGTCAGTAATCCAACGGCCGAGGGGTCACATCAATCGGGTGGCACCGGCAGTGGCATGTTCACCGCATTGAATGCGGTGGGTGGATGTGACGTCGCATTAAATGCGGTGGTTGGCTGTCTCCAAAGGGAATCTTCGATGATTGAGCCTGTTTGGCCGAAGGCTCCTCGTGGGGTCGAGGGCTTCGTGTAACCGAAGGCCCTGTGTAGCCGAAGGCTTCCCTGATGCCGAGGGCTCAACAGTGCCGAAGGCTCCTGTTTTCTCCTGTTTTCTCCCAGTAGCTTCGTGTGCTCAAAACTGGCTGTCCTGTGTAATTTGGAGCCTTCGGCAAAGGGGGCCGAAGGCACCCCAGTGTGTATTCTGGGCTCCTTTGAGACTTGGGCCGCTGCATTTGGGCCTGAGATGCTCCCTGGGCTTAATGGGCTTGTGTAGGAGAAGTAGGAGTCTATGGGCCGGGGGTTCCCGGGCCATATACTCCATCAGAGAGTAAGGGGTGTTTGGAACTTCTGCCTCTTTTTTAAGTAGAAGCAGAATCAAAATCAGTTTTCAGAAACTGGTCTCCCCCAGCTTCTAAAAAAACTGATTCTAGGAGTAAATTATAACACCAGAATCACTTCTGCACTTTCACCCAAAACTACAGCTTCTGCTTCTGCTCCCTCAAGGAGCAGAATCAGTTTTAAGAATCAGATCCAAACACCCCCTAAATGCTGACTGGTATACCTAAGTAGTAATTAGAGGACAATAAAAAATGGGCAATAAATTCGCACATTAATAGGAGATAATTCCACAAATGACAGTAAGGATGTTTTTACTTGGACTGTAATTTGCTGGTCTGGTCTGGTCTAATCTGATCTGGTCTGATCTGGTAATGTCTGGTCTCTTTATATTGTTATAACTATCCAAGTTTGATCTGGTCTGGTCTGGGGCTGAAAACAGTCCAAGTAAAAACATTGATGATAGTCAATGGCAGAGGCGGTAACTTGAGGACAATAAATGTAATTTTTCTATTTTTTTGATAAATCCTAGTATTCAATATATGATCCATAAATGAAATAGGGAGTAAACACAAAAATGGAAGCAAATGGCTAAGAAGCAGTAAATACGTAAGAGCAATAAATGACATAGGTGGCAATAACTTTAGTTGTACCTCATCTTATTAATCTCACTATATCTGTTGTCCTTCAGTACAAATCCCCATTTGAGATTTTATTTCACAAATCTCCTGATTATCAAGCTCTTTTGGTGCTTGGGTGTCTGTGCTTCGCCTATAATCTTCGCTCTAGGAAGGACAAGTTTATGAGTCACAGTCGGAAATGTGTCTTTGTGGGTTATTCTCTCGGGAAAAAAGGATGGTGGGTATATGACTTGGAAACTCATGAGTATTTTACTTCTCGTGATGTTAAATTTTTTGAGGATCAAATTCATTTTGCCACACCATTAGCTAACGTCCCAGAGAGCCCTCAGCTATGCCTATTATAGATACCTGGGAGTATCCGTCCAATACTTCTCCACTTATTTCATCTTCGGAGGTTGTGCTTCCATCTACGTCTGCACAAGAAGGGTCGGATGCGGTCACTCTTTGGAATCTATGCCACCTGATCTTGGACGTGGTAAACGTCTCAAGATGCCTTCAGTTCGTCTCAGAGATTACGAGACTCATACAATGCTCCATGAAAGTCTATTCCTCGCTCTTCCTGTCTCCTCTAACCCCTCGGGTACCCCAATTCCTCGTCATCAAAAATTCTTTTCAGCTCTTTCAATCCAGACAGAACCGACTTCTTTTCACGAAATGGTTAAAGATGCAGGATGGCGAGCAGCTATGCACACAAAAATTCGAGCCCTAGAAGAAAATCATACATGGACCATGCATCCTCTTCCTTCTAGCAAACGGACTTTGGGTTGTCGTTGGGTGTATAAAATTAAATATCACGCTGATGGCGGTATCAAACGACTTAAGGCTCGGTTAGTTATTTTTGGCAATCGCCAAGTTGAGGGACTTGACTATAACGAAACATTTGCTCCAGTTGCAAAAATGGTCACTGTTTGTGCATTCTCGGTTGTTGCAGCATCTAAGAATTAGGAACTTCATCAAATGGATGTTCACAGCGCTTTTTTTGCCCGGTGACTTGGATGAAGAGGTATATATGCAAGTACCTCAGGGTTTTGCAACGTCTGATCCCTCTCTTGTCTGCCGACTTCATAAATCTTTAGGATTTGAAACAAGCAACACGTTGTTGGTTTGCTAAATTGGTTGTAGCTCTGAAGAGATATGGCTTTCCGCACTCTTATGCAGATTATTCTTTGCTTACTCGGACTCAGGGTTCTATTCAACTGAACGTTGTGGTCTATGTGGACGATTTAATCATTTCTGGTTATGATCATGCGGTTATTCATTTTAAATCATATCTCAATGATTGCTTTCATATGAAGGATCTGAGCCCACTCCGCTATTTTCTTGGTATTGAGGTTGCTAGGGATCCCTCAAGTTTATTTCTTACACAACGCAAATACACCTTGGATATATTATCTGAAATCGGACTTTTTGGCAGTAAATCAGCCGCTTTTCCCATTGAACAAAATCATTCTACTATTACTGCTTCAGGCCCTCCTCTTGCAGATCTTGAACCCTATCGACGCCTTCTTGGCCGGCTTATTTATCTTGCGGTGACTCGTCCGGACCTGACTTACTATATTCATGTTCTTTCTCAATTCATGAAGGCCCCTGGACAAGCTCATTAAGATGCGGCTCTTTGTGTTGTGCACTATTTGAAGCGCTCTCCCGGACAAGGTATTCTTCTGCATTCCGACAGTGATCTATCCCTTACAGGATGATGTGATTCTGATTGGGCGGTCTGTCCTCTTAACCGCTGCTCTTTGTCTGGTTGGCTGGTTTTTCTTGGTCACTCTCCTATTTCCTGGAAAATGAAGAAGCAATCTACTGTCACTCGTTCTTCTGCAGAATCTGAGTATCAGGCTATGGCTGTCACCACATGTGAACTCAAATGGCTCAAAGGTCCGCTTCTTAATCTTGGAGTTAATCATACCAAGGCAATTCCATTTTACATATTGCTCATAACCCAGTGTTTCATGAACGCACTAAACATATTGAGGTTGATTGCCATTTTGTTCGAGACGCTATCAAAGAGAAAGTTATTGCTCGAGTTACGTTCCTACCACTGTTCAACTTGCTGATATTTTCACCAAGGCTTTTGAGAAGACACAATTTCAGATTTTCAATTTCTTCTTCGCAAGTTGGGCATCTTGAATCCTCATGCTCCAACTTGAGTAGGGGTGGACTCGGGAAGGGCGGCCCGGCCCGGTTACTGTTTGGCCCGGCCCGGCCCGGGGCCCGGTGGGTCCACAGGTTCGGTTCGGCCCGGCCCGGGGCCCGGTGGGTCCACCGGTTCGGTTCGGCCCGGCCCGGCTGCTGGGCGGTCCGGGCTCGGGCCCAGTTTTTGGTGAACCGGCCCGGCCGGTTCGGGCCGGTTTTTAATTTTTTTTTTTTATTTTTTTTTTTTTTGAATTTTTTTTAAGTTTTGGGTTGGATTAGGTATTTTGGGCCATTTGAGGTGGTTTGGGGTTGAGGGGGAGGGGTTGGGGGTTAAATAGAAGAGCCAAAAAAAAAAATTAGAACCGGTTAGGCCCGGCCCGGCCCAGTTTGGCCCGGAACCGGGACCGGAACCGCCCACCGGCGGTTCGGGCTCGGGCCCAACTTTCCTGGCCCGAGGCCCGAACCGGCCCGAGTCCACCCCTAAACTTGAGGTGGGGTATTACGGACAGAATATATTAGACAACATGTATTAAGCCTATTCATTATTGGCATATCATCTATTCTAGGAATGTATTTTACTTCTTTCCTTTCCTAGTTTATTAGATTGTTTAGCAATGTATGCTACATCTATATATGTAGCCTTTGAATTCTTTTTATTCATACAAAATAGGGAAAATGGAAACTAATAATCTAACTTTTTAGCGATCTTCTTACAATAGTCCCACCTTTTCATTATTCATGAATAATCCAACATATGCATCTCATCTTCATTCACTGGTCTCTGACCGATTGATGATCTACTATTCCAAGTTATTTTCTTATCTTTGCAAACCATTATACCATAAATCTCACCTTTTCACAAAGATAATATTTTGCAAAGATAAGAAAATAACTTGGAATAGCAGGTTATTAACCGGTTAGGGACCAACGAATGAAGATGAGGTGAAAAGGTTGGATTATTCATGTAAGAAGACTGCTAAAAGGTTGGATTATTAATTTTCATTTTCCCTACAAAATACACAGACATAATACATCAAAATATACTTTGATATAGAAAAGTTTATCCAAGACTTAGTAGACTTTTCATTGAACATATAGGAGTTTCGAAACAATTAACGGCCTAATGGACATCCAGATTAAGCCCTCCCCGTATGGCAACTTTTATATGTCAGATGTAAGGTTTATGATTTTTATTATATCAACATAGCCGATCTTCAAAAAAAATCTAAATCACTCATATATGTATACATGTATATCTGTCATGTTCTTTGCGCAATCCGACCATGATAACTCCCGGATCAACCAATAAGATCATGCAACACAATTAAAATAAAATACAAATTTCAATCGAAGTCCTAATGGACATCAAGAGTACATACACACACTTGGTATAGTACAAGACAACGGAAATAAGATTATGGTGGGCCGTAATATACCATTGCATGTACTTGAAAATGCACATTGGAAGGATGAATTAGATGGGAATTGAAGCACGGCCCCTACCTAGATTCACACAATGAATTTGGCATATCACCTCAAGATAAAATAACAAGTCCAAGGTAAACTGCTGCACAAAGAAATACGAAAGATATCACCCCCCTGCATCAACAAAAACAGAGGATTTTAGTAAATGCAATCTAGATGACTTCACAGCTCTGGCGGAATTCGGCTACATGAACTAGCATTCTCAGTCCATGCATAACATTGGAATGAAACATCACATACTTGAAGACAAAAAAAACAGGTTGATTTCCAACTTAAGTGCAAGTACAAACCAGATAACTCCCCAGGCAACACCATTGCAAGGGCATGGACAATATTCTGCAAACTTCTCCGCATCACTGGAGTGAACCCTCCGCGATATCAAGTCATCATATATATCTGCAACGCAATATTTCAGTTAATGACAAGCCTTCTCTATAAAGACAAACTCGAAGTCCTAGATCGGGGATGAGGACGTACCATAGACAGAAAACAAACTGTTCATAACACCTGCAGTTCACAAATTTCCTTATCAGCATAAAAGAATTGAAATAGCAGAAGTATAGGCACAATACCAGGGGCGTAGCTAGGGGCGCCAACCCTGGCCCCGGTTCACCCCAAATTTTAAAAATGTCTATATTTTAATGGTAAAAAAATCCTTGTAATTTTTTCCCCAAAAATATTATTTGTACCGACCCAGTGCCCTGGTCCGCCCCTGCACGATAGAATAGATCCATACCAATGAATAGAATGACATAGCGAAGAACCCGTACTTCAGTCATTCTTTGAAGAACCCATACTAACGCAATGAAAACGATGAATCCTGCCAAATTTGAATTGGTAAAGGAAAATTTTCTGTGCACGCGTGAAAGTACATCTATATCATGTTTGGCCCTTATCAAGATCCTGAATGTGCTTACCAATGGAAAGTCCTCGAAGCGTCCACTGTTTAAACATTAAATGAGTTACTCAAAGGACAAATAACCTAGACTGAAAAGATTTCTACTCTCCTCCAGAAAATATATTGTCTGAAAATATTTAGAGTTGCAAACACGTGTTGACTCATCTTTTAGCTTCTTACATTTTTGGCATAGAACAGTACCACAACCAGTGCTGCAATAAAACAACCGGCAGCAATTTCTGCGGTCATAAGATATGTTGATGCAAGTATCAGAACCATTCCCCAAAATGAAGAACCTAGATCTGTAGGGAAGCAACAGAAGAATGGATATATAGAGAAAAATCATTAAAAGTAAGAGCACATTTTTTTATTCCTGAGAGAAAGTAATTACATCCAGCAGGCAAAATCAACCAATAAGCACCACCACGCGTTTGTGTTGATCCACCCTCGTTTGCATGAACTTCCATGCCCTCCACCTGCAATCAGTAATAAAGGATAATAATGATGGGCCAAATAACAGTCATTGTCCATCAACAGTTCAACACACACCCTAATTGTAGAGTGTTGTATTCAAAATAGCCCATCCCAAACAGATCTTTTTATTGCAGTTTGATCTCACACATACAGTCCTCTAAGTTTTCGTTTCAGGAAACCTGATAGTGTGGTTACTGGAGTCACTAATTCATTCTCCACATGCTAAGTCAGTACCAATACCAGGCTTTGCACTAAAAAGATTCAATTCAGCTCACTAAGGGAGTGTTTGCAACTGCTTCTGCTTAAAAAAAAGCACTTTTGGAGAAGTAATGAAAAAGTGATTGGTAGTAAAAGTTGATAGTGTTTGAGAAAAAAGTGATTTTGAAAAGTAAAAGTTGGTAGTGTTTGGTAAAATAAGTGCTTTTTGTGTAATAGAAAAGGGAAAAGCACTTTTCACACGCAAGCCGAGAAAAAGTAAAAATTGGTAGTGTTTGGTAAATAAGTGCTTTTTAAAGCCAAAAGCTGAGAAGTGCTTTTTTTTAAGCAGTTGCAAACACTCCCTAAGTCATCTTGCAAATGTATTTCATAGTTAAGTAAATTTCTCTACCACAACAACATCCAAGCCTTAGAATCCGTTCTCTTCGGTTGATCTGAATGTTTCTAAGCTGAAATGTATAAGTTCTGATCTGATCTAAATTTTTCTGATCTGATTTGATCTGAATTTTTTTGATCTGATATGATCTGAATCTTTCTGATTTGATCTAATCTGAATCATTCCGATTTCCGATCCAAAAGTAGAAGAAAGATAATAAGATAAGATATGGTAAAAAGATAAAAACGATACGATAAAGATAAAGATAAATATAAGATTGAGAAAAAATTGATATGATAAAAAGGATATAAAGAATATGTATAAAATAAAAAATGATAAAAACGATAAAGAAACATAAGAAAGATCACCCATCATTACCGATGACCCATAGTGAAAATCGCATCGAAAATTGCATGGACTGACTGCTGCTTCATAACAAAGAAACACAAACAGTTTAGTGAGCCATTTTGCTTTATTCCATCACATTCCCAAGCCAAAAAAGAGTCTTTGGTACCATTGCAAATGATGGAAATAAAAACATAAAAAAAGATAAAGAAGATAAAAACAACAACAACAAACAACAACATCCAAGCCTTAATCTCAAAAGATTTTGGGGTCGGCTAACATGAATCGGTCTATGATATCGATGCCAAAAAGAGAAGACAGCAAGAAGGAAAAAAAAGGATAAAACGAATAAGATAAAGATAAATAAATATAAGATAACAATAACATAAGAATATATAAGAAAGATAAAAGAGCATAAAAAAGCTAGAAGGTAAAAATAACATAAGCACATAAAAAGACAAAGAAGATAAATGATAAAAGAAAAAGAAAGAGAAAAAAGGAAGAAGAAAAAAATCAAATCGCCCACACAAATGTGTGCCCTCCACTTTGCCCTCTCCAAAGTGGATATATAAGATGATAAGAGATCAATCCGCCACATGAATACCCGCACTCCACTTTACTCTCCCCAAAATCATACTCAATATATGTGGGGTTAGTAAGCTATATTTGAAACTTGATAGTAAAACTGTAAGAGGACTTCTTTGAAATCCACCCATAAGGGGTTCTTATGTCAGCAGAGCATTAGAGACCCAACTTGAATAAACAGAAAGAAGCACCCTTGTGATAAGTCATGCTCCACGATGTGCACGTTGATTAAAAAATCTTGTTTGCAATAGGGCACAACTATATCAACCATCTCCAAACACCTTGTCTCATGATAAATCCCATCCAAGAGAAAACAGCCTATAATGATGACAATTTCGAAAATTATCCCACTATTCCTTCTTTAGAAGGTGGCAACAAGAAGGGGATCTCGCTATAAACATTGTCACTGCATTTTTGCATGAATGTATAGTGTTAACGAATTTAGAAAATTAACTCATGCTATAAATTTCGTTCACCAAACTGAACTTAATTGGGGTTACGGTGTTGAGGATGACTATACTGCAGCACAGTTATGGTAAATGCATATGTGATTGAAGTAAAATATAAACAATACTAGTTTTTAGCAGAAACATGCTTCCATCCCCCAAGACACAAATATGAACAAACTAACCAAATTCAATCACACACAGACCAGTGGTATTCATATTGTAACAAGAGAGATAAAAGTCATCGACGAAATTGTTATATGGAATGTAGCAAAGGTTTGAACTTGCAAAAAAACTCGCATTGTACAGACGATCAAACTTTAATACAGAGAAGGGAGAGGATTTCTGCCATTTACCTGGCCACATGTAAGTTTACAAGCAATTGCATGGCTTGCCTCATGAAGAAATACAGTAATGAGCTTAAAAGGAGTTAGAATGAATGTTCTCCACAGCTGTTTCAATTTATAAAAATAAGCAAAGTGAATATCAATAGTGAAAGATTAATCCTGAAAAAAAATTCAACAACAATAATGTAGCAATAACATTGTGCTTCAGAATGTATAGTTCAGTGTTATCATGTCCAGTGCAGGTATCAAACATACTGAACGTGGCCTAGTAGGTACTGACTGTAGGGATCTTGATATAACTAAGGGCTTCCTTTTTCCTGTAGGTATTGAGAGATTATTATCATTTGGGACTCCCAAGAGTTGGGCAGCCCTGGACTGTATGTCATGTTATTTACTTTCTCCTTGTACATGTATGTTTCTTCTTCATTTATTTCAATGCAATTCTATAAATAAAATAAAAAAGCATCTTCCTTCTTTATTATTGCCCCCCGTTACTTTATATTAATTGATCCTGCCAATTTGTTGTGATAATTGAAGAATGGATGTTACTTTCCGAGTATACTAAAACAAATTTCCACACTTTTCGAATGGTTGAAAGAACTACTAATTCTCGGGGGGTATAAATGAATTCAATGCTCCTTCTCTATGTGAATTTCCAAGTGTGAAACCATGTTTTATCAACAATTCGATGTGCAAAATGATGTAAAATAGATATTTTGAATGCAGACGCCTTTATCCTCCTAATTTTGTTTACATACAGTTTTCTTCTCGATTTCTAATTCCTATTTTGCCCTTCCGGCCAACACATCTACATTATTTAGCGAAAACTTTCACAATAAACTGCAGTGTAGTAGGGTATGCACAAGGGGGGAGATGATAAAGCAGAGAGACATACAACGAAGATAACAATGGAGTAAACGCCTATTGTGAGAAGGAAGATCCTTTGATCGTGGTTACAGAAGCTCTTCAGCTCCCAGTTCACTTCGACCATCCTAGCTTCTTCTTAACACTTTCTCACCGGCAAGAATTTCAAGTTTCAATTCCTATCGGAAAAGATGGACTGGTGTCAATTCAGATGCCGATGGCACGCGATGCTGAAGTGGCAGGGTGGTGGACGGTAATTTTTTAAGTATGGCTGCATGCCAATTTCAACTTTCTCCATAATTGGCTTCACCAAAATAAAACTTGGTTTAAAGCCTAGTAATATCAAAGTTAGAAAATTTCAGAAATTTAGAAAACTTGGCAGAAATTTACTCATATTTAAAATAAAAAACATGATAATCCTATTTTAGAATTTCAAAACGTTTTTACTCTTATTTAGAAAATTTTCTCCTTCTTTTTCCGAATATATTAATGCATATTTATTAGAAATTGTCATAAATAGAATTAAAATCGGTATTAGACATAAATGGGACTAAAAGTAATTAAAAAATGAGAATTTTGTCTTAAATAGGACTAAAATGTTGTTGAAATTCCAAAATAGGAGTAAGTGTATTTTTCTTCCCTAAATAGGACTTTTCTCCCAAAATTACCCTTCTTCTGTTTCCTTCACTCACGCACACCAACCATTGGCTGATCATCTTCTGAGCTCAAACCTTCTCCTTCCATTCTTCTATTTTCTTCTCCGCCCCCTCTCCATCGGTGAGCTTCCAGGTGCGGCGAGCGGCGGCGAGCGGCGGCCAACCTTTCTTCTCCGGTCATCATCTCAGCTTGCAGTGACGAGCTTCTTGGTGCAGCGAGTAGCGGCAATGGCCATAAAGAGAGCTTCATGAAGTAGTGAATTCAAAAAGTACGTATCTTGTTTTCACAATCCTTTGTTCTCCTCAGCCTCTTCTTCCATGGATCTGCCTCCCCCCTTTTCTATTCCGTTGCCTAGTTGAAAAAAATTGAGATGTTGTTCTCGATATTCTTTGTTCGAGAAGAATGCCAAGTTGTTATCTGAAAATGCCATCAAAAAGGCTTTTTTTCTCTTCAAAATTTCATCTTTTTCTTGGAAAATGCCATTAAAATGGCAATCCTATTTCATGTTGGAATTCTCGTAAAATTGTTGGCATCAACACCGAGGGCGGCCAGACCTGCGGTGGCCGGCGACTGTTGTCCGCCAGATCTGGGAAGATCTACGGCGACGACGGCCAGATCTGTGGTGGCGGCGATTAGATCTGCGGTGCCGGAAGTCAGATGTGCAACGGCAGTCAGTTCGGCGACGCCCGTAGTTGCCGGAGACTGGCAACGGTCTACTTTCTATAGGCTACAACAGGTTGTGCCAGGCTTTAGGGTATTTTTGTCTAATTGCAAATAATGACTCCTATTTAGGGAACTTTTAAGCTTTGCTCCTATTTTAGCAATTAGGGATTTATTTACTCCTACTTAGGATGTTTTTACTTGGACTGTAATTTGTCCCAAACCAGACCAGTCCAGACCAGACCAGACCAGTTCAGACCAGACCAGACCAGACTTGGATAGTTATAAAAATACAAAGAAACCAGACCTTACCAGACCAGACCAGACCAGTTCAGACCAGACCAGACCAGATCAGACCAGACCAGACCAGACCAGCAAATTACAGTCCAAGTAAAAACATCCTTAGATAAATATCCCTAAAAAATTCTACATTAGAACTTTATTACTTTTATTCATAAAATAGGAATAATTTATGTCTTTTTTTTCCTTATTCTACCCTCAACCTATAATTTCGAAGAGATTTATTTATTAATAAAAAATTATAGTTTTATTTATATTAAAAACATAAAACTTCGTAAAAAATGTGTAAAAATTAAAAAAATTAAAAAACTTAAACAAATATAAAAATTAAAATAGCATACCTAAAAAATATTTAAAAAATATGTAGGTCACTACCTCCGCATCCCCCACCTATCTGCACCACCACCTTCGATCGCCGAAAAAAATGTCATCTTGTGTAAAAAAAAATCACATTTATCTGAAAACGCCATAAAGATGACATTTTTACTATTTGAAAATATTCAGCTTTCTTTTCAAATTAGCCATCACGATGACACTTTTTGCCCAATTTAGCAATCTTTTCCAGCGACCGAAGGTGGCAGTGCTGGAAGGTGTCTGAGGTTGTGGTTGAGGTCGGTATTTTATTTTTATTTATTTTTTACAATATTAATTTTTTTTTTGTTTTTTTTTTGTGTTTTATAATGATTATTAAAAAATCCTATTAGGAAGAACAAGGGAAAGGGTAGAATAGGAAGAGTTAGTCCTATTTTGGGAATTTAAACTTTAAACTCCTATTGTTGCAATTATCATTTTATTTAGTCCTATTTAGGGAAATCTCCCAACTAAAATTTGTCTAAAATGCACAAATAAAATTAAAGCCTTAAATCATTCGAAAATAAAATTAAACATTCATTTTCAACCCTAAATATCCATTAGAGTATTAAATTCATAATGAAATGTTTTAATTCATAATAAAATCGTAAAAAAATGATAATAAATCGTAAAAAGATTAAAAATACATTTATAAAATAAAAGTTTCAAAAAATTTAATTTTTTTTCAAAATTAATAAGAAATGGTAAAAAACTTAAAACATAAAAGCAAATGGATATCTTTCCCACCGCCTCCCATCACTACCAGATGGAGTAAATGACATTATTAGTGTTGATAATACCAAAATTTTCATTAAATCTGACATTATTATGGCATTACTAACCATGTTGGCATTTTTTCTCCGGTGATCGGAGTTGGTGGTGCTAGGGGTGGCAGAGGCAGCGGTTTTTTTTATCTTTTTTAATATTTTTTTTTTAATTTTTTTTGAAATTTTTATCATAAATATTTTATTATTTTTTATTATTTCTTTACGACTATTATGAATTAAGAACATATCAAAAGTTACAAGGGATTTTTCCCTTGGTATTATTAAATTATACTACCTCTGTCCCACTATGTTTGGGACAATTCGGTTTACGATGCTTGAATGACGATAAAGCAAACAGATCCCTGTCCGCACTTAAATTATTTTTTGAGAAACAAAAATACATATTCAGAATCTACATTAAAAACTTTACAAAGTCGCAAAAACCAGAATTGCATTTGATAAAAATTTGATGTATAAAGTAAGAGATTAAGAGTGATTTGTGTTGACCAACTGAATATTGTCTGGGACAATCTTAGCGGGACGGGGGGAAGTAGCTAATTTCCAAAAAAGTGATCACATTTATATTTGGACAAAATTGCGACTAATGTACAATGACATTTTCACAATGACATTTTCACAGGACATCTCCGCAGTGACATCTTCGACGTTGTCACTCATGTCAATGCCGCCACCAGTCACCACCACTGTCGGTCGCCTCCACCACCGGTCACCGTCGCCGGCCATAGTGACACATCTGCAGTGACAACTCCGCAGTGACATCTCAGACGCCATCACCCATGTCATTGCGCCATTGTTGTCGCCGCTGCCAGCCTTATTGACACCTCTGCACTGACAAATCCATAGTGACATCCCCGCATGGGGATGGGTTGCTAGGAATGATCATGGGGAGTTCATAACTGCGTGAGGAGTTTCGGTCAGAGTAGGATGGTCCCCGGCGGAAATAGAAGCGGCAGGCTTGAGGGATGCTATTGGAGGGGCGATTGATGTTGGCAGGATGTGGAATTTGAGACGGATGCACTCACAATGGTCCAAGGGATCCGGCAAGGGGAAGACTTTTCGTATATTGATTTATTTCTGGAGGATATTAGAGAAATTATTAATACTTCCTCCGTTCTTTTTTAATTGCAACGGTCAACGTTTCACGCTTGCCAATGCATAAGTTTGACCGTTAATATCTTTTATTCCTTATTAGTAAAAAAAATAAAAAATTCAGATTTTGAAAATATAAAATGAGAGGAATTTAAAAAAAATTGTTAAAAATTTAATTCGTAATACATTAATAAATAAAATATAGTCAAAGTAGAATGTGTGAATAGTGCAAAAAGTCCTACGTTGCAATTAAAAGAGAACGGAGGTAGTACAAAGAGTAATTGCAGTGTCTCTTTTTGTAAACGATATGCGAATCGTGTAGCTCAAGCTTTGGCTAGAGCATATGTCTTAGTCTCATACCATAGTGCTCATGAGTTTCTTGTAAGCCATTTGGATAACGATTTGATTGATTAATACAAGTGGCTAGTTTATAATACTCTCTCAGTTCCAAATTGACTTATAAAATTGATTTTTTAGACAAACAGAATCATTTTATTCACTTAATTGGAATATCAATTCTTAGAACTTTTATTTAATTTGGAACGGGTCCTTCAATATCTCAGGACCGACCCTGCCCACTCCTAGCGGCTGGAACTTAGTTTACAACAATGATTGATGTACTCACTCTTGTACCCACCCTTGTACCCACCTTATATTCATCATGTTTATGAAAAGTTTTTTTTATCTGTGAATCCGGTTTACAGACAAAACATGTGTTATTTTGTCTGCGCAAATTTTGCCCAAACATAATATTATCTGTGAACGGGAACTCTCACACACACACACACACAAAATATTCACAAACATGAGTGAGTATAAAAGTGGGTACAAACATCATTTTTGCTTAATTAATGTGATAACATGCACATAATAACTCCTAGCTAGGGTTAATCTCAAAAAAAAAAAACTCCTAGCTAGGGTCAACCTTTAAGTGGCTGGCCGCGGGAATGAAATGTAATCAATGTATGTACGTACATAATTAGCTTGCAGCATGGCTTGAAATATTGCCGGAATTAGTAGCGGCAGGGCGAAAGGTACGCATACAATTCATGGAGGAAATTAAAAGGCTAAGTATGTATATCAATGTATGGTGATCCACAAAGTAAGGTTCGTAGACTTACAAACTATTAATTTGAGATCGAATATATCGGCCGGTAAACTTGACAAATTAATAATTAAGCGATAATCTCTTTCAACCACTCATATTATTGATTAATGATCAAATTACTTTCTAATCCAGAGGTCGGGTGAACGTATAAATTGGACTCGCGCGGTGCATGTTAGCTTCAAATTATATTTCCCGAAGCTTAGCTTAGCTTTTGGAGTTAGTCATTTTTATCGTCTCCTAAATATTATTTAGGAGCTTTTATTATCTACCATACCTGCTTATTTTGAGATTCATTAAGATCTATATATCGACGATGAAAGAATTAAAGAAGAAGACGATTCCTAGTCTTTCATTTTGTATCATTCTTT